AATAACAAACCCGCCAGAAAGTTCAGACTCTGGCAATACCCTATTTTTGGGTTATAGATACTGAAAGCTTGCAATACCCTCCGCAACGATTTCAACATTGGGGTCTCCGGCTCCTTTATACTCGGCTGACTGGTCCGTTTTTCTGAAACAGGAGGAGGATCCGGCTTGAATTTGATATTATCCGGGAACGTGCGATTGAGATCCCGCTCAATAATCTCGTCGTCCGTCTCATTAACCGCCCCTGCAGCTGCTTGCTTCACCAAACTATCATACACTCCATAGTGCTTAGCGACCATAGCCGGACCACCTGCATACCAGAACCAGGCTTCGCCTCGCCAATCAGGCGGTATCCCTTTGCGGACGAAACGTTTAACTTTTGCTGATTTTGGTGGAAATCGAATTGGCTTGTCGGTAATCAGACTGTGGTCCTTGAGTAATAACACCCATTTCTTTCTTCTTCGCTCAACGTATTCATTATAAGGCCCACTCCAAGCTTCATATTCTTCTAAGGAAACGTATTGTGTCTTTTTCTTGAACCCATACCTGTCTCTAGCTGGGTCTGATGCAATTAATGTGGGTGGCGGTGGCACTACTGCGTGCGGTTCGAAGTATTCATCCCGAGTTTCATGAGACGCTCCTGCACCATCAAATTCTTTCGATCCCGAAAAATCACTCGAAGCAGGATTAGGGGTAACTGCCGCACTTTGTGCCTCAAAAGCTTTGCTGTGGAATATTTCCGTGGAACCTCTAATTGAAAATTGCGACGCCTCGAGAGTTGAAGGAGGAACAAGAGAATCATCCATTGCCTCTTCCAACTTCGATTGCCTTCCCTCCGAATCCGGGGTCATTGGTCGAAACTCATCGTCTTCATCAAAGAACTCCTGTCGATATACAGATCTGGGCTTAATTTCAGCACCAATTTCCAGGAGCTTGTCCTCCAAATCATTATCTTCGACCCCCGAGTCCAGAAAGCCACCTTCATACATGCCAATTGCATCATCCACACTCATTCCTTCGTCTTTACCCCCAAAGAAAGAAGTATGCGAACTACTTTTCGTCAGTACACTGCTCCTCTCTGTCCCACTTGTTCCAAAATAACTCGAGTTTGTAGTCAAAGCAGATCTGAAGCTTGCTCGAACTTCTTCGTCATCAAAATTTGTTGGTCGAATTGGGGGCTCTCGTCGATATATGGATGAGTTATTACTGTCGGGTCTATTGATTCCTGTTCTTGGCCTAAAATTTGCTTGTGGGATATTGCGCTGTCTCGCATTATTCAGATCTACAGTATGATAGTCCGGAATTGACGCAGAAGGTCGCAGGCTAGGTGCGGGTGCGGGTGCAGGCGGAGGTAATTGTTGGCCTGATTGTGAAGAAGATGATGAAAATCCTCTATCTCGTGTACTGAAAACTGATCCATTGTTTATTGTTTCCTCATCTTGTGATGGTTCTACATGAAATGTCGAGGCATGGATCAAAGGGCTAGGAGACTCATTTCGTTTCCGCAGACTGGCTTGTCGTGGTCTAGAGAAATTGTCTACTACCTTTTCCGGGGTACGTCTGCCAGTGGAAGAATGCGATCGCACGTTACTAAGTTGTCTCAATCGTGAAGCCTCTGAAGGTTTTCGGCGAAGCTTCTGCTGTGGTGGAGCAGTTAAAGATCGGGAGGGTTCATTAGATGCTGAATGATGCGATGTTGAGGGCCTTTGCTGCGGGATAGGAGGATTTTGGGCGAGGGGGTTAATAGGCAAATAATGTTCTCGAGTGGATGGTGTTGGTGACTTGGGTGGAAATGGAAATGGACGATTTCCAGACCTAGAAGTATTAACAGATAACTCGGAAGCTTTAGATGAGGTCCGAGGTCTTGTTGGATATAGGTTGAATTTCTGACTTCGTTGTTGTCTGATCTGCATATGCGGACTCCTGTTATCCATGTTGTTGGAAATGGGAGAAGACGTTTCAACGCCATAATATCCATTTCCCATATTCATCGTCAAGGCCAAACTAGTAAACCCCTTATCGCGACTATTCCATTTAAACCTTCAAGCTCTCCCCATATATTTCAAGTAGCAATCGAACCACCTCGCCCCAGGTCTTTTGACCCCGATCTTATGCGGAAGGACCCTGTAGTAATTGAAATCGTCAACATCAAAGCAAGAAGATTCTTTCGTCCGAGGTTACTTTTCTTCCTTTCTATCGAAGAAAGAGGCTGGTCTTGCAGGTAGTACAATTATGTTGTGGAATGGTTGAATGATAATTGTCGGGGCAGGCATTCGGCGAAGTTGATCCTTCGAGTCTCGAGGTATTGGGGGTGCCAGTACTCCGTATATTCTCTAATCTCCAATTTCCAAAGAACGTCCAATTATTCGGTGTTGTTCCAAATGTTCCAGTATCTTGTCCTCGCAATTCAAATTGTGTCTCCAATGTTTCAAATGTTAGAAACGATTTTAGTTAACGAAAGTGTGAAGTAAGTATGAGAATAGGAAATGGAGAATGGAGAGTTTGAGTATGAAGTGATTCAAGTGAAGTGAAGTGAAGTGAAGGCCAGGAATAGAAAGAATTATGCAGGAAAGTGGATATAATTAGGGATTAACAAGCAAAGAAGTAATGTAATAATGAATCAATGAATTAATCAATTAATTAATTATTGGTGTGAATGAGGAATTGAATATATGAAGGTATGAGCAGTGTGAAGGAATGAAGTAGGTATCCAATGTACCTTTTTCGTAGTGTTGTAGTAGCAGTAATAGTCGTATTTACTTGCTTGTACTCCGTTCGTATTATATTTTGAGTGAAGAGAGGATTGGGCAGTGAATGAGTACTCCTGAGTAATGATTGATGGTATTTTGGTATCTTGGTGTTCAAGTATGGTATGGTATGGTGTGGTATGGTGTAGTATGGTGTAGTATGGCATGGGATGGATGGTATGTACGGAGTTGTCGGTTGATCCACCCTTTTCCAACTGAAACAAAGGCAAAGACCCAAAATAATGAATGTGTATGCAATTCTCGCTCCACTAATGAAACGAAGGGGAGAAGGAGGTTTGATGTTGAAATCTGAGATTGGAGATTGGAGATTGGAGGTTTGAGAATGAATGAAATATGAATAGGTGTGAATGAGAGATATGAATCGACTGCAGGTGGTACAGATAGACAAATAGACAGTTAAAAACTAGCTGGAGAGACCTAGATGAATTATAAAGGAAAGCTTTAAGAATTCGACATCTTTGGTTCAATTCATTTTATTTCGTGAAATGGTCAAAGCAAGTAAATAACAATACCTAGGTAATAGTAATATAGTAATAAGAATACCTAGTAGTAATAAGCAAAGAAAAAATTGCAAAAAATTGCAAAAAAAATCGATATTGAAGATGAAAAGATTCATAGAGTACCTGCATAGACAGAGAGATATACAGACATACTTAGACTAATAATACTTACGTTCCATATTTTATTTTATATCTTCCAATTGACATTGGCTAAATACGCACATTGTACGCCAATGCATGGTGATCTTCTTACACCAAGGCACTCTCCCTTTGATTACGATTACGATTCCCTCGGTGTACGAACTTCGAAGTAGGAGGTAGCTCCTCTCTCTTGCTCTGAACTCTGTATTGTACTCGGGATAGATGTATATAAAAACCTAGTCGTCCGTCAGTTATTAGTTACATCCACCCACATCCACCCATCCATCCGTCCATCCATCTAGTCCAGTTCCAAGAACTAGCCGATAAAACCCAATTCAAAGGAACTTTTCCTCAATCCCCTGGACTGCGATGATTCGTTCAATCGATTCCATTTCCTATTAACCCATCCCCCATCTACCCGTCGTTCTATCATCAATCAATTAACTCCTCCGTACCGAAGTGTATCCCCATCTTCAAAGGTAAGAGAAAAAAAGTAAAATTTGATCCTAATCTTAATTTGGGTCCTCCGCTGCATCAACAATCCTGGTCGAGGTTCTTCAGCCAAGAGTTATCATGTCTGGATGTTTGGGAAGTGGTCCGGTGGAAAAGCTTTAATAAAAGCTGAGAAGGGAATTCATGGGAGAAGATGGAGCAAGCGAGATCAAATTGTAAGGTAAATATGTAAAATGTCCAAAATGTGCACCTACATATGTCATGATTAACAAGCTAATCATTATTAATGTGGTTCGAGGGTAGAATATAAGATAAAGCTTGCTAGTAAGGAAGACTGATGGAAATTATTCTAATTTATCTCTAACAATTTATGGGAAATCAATCAACATTCTGATGAGGAGATCTGGTGGATTTAGATGATGTATCGTACTGTATACCTGCTATATACCTACTACGTACACATCTACCAACAAGTCTCTCATTCATAGCCACCCCGGTAACTTATGGTCAGATCAAATATCATCAGGTTATGCACATGTGCCTTCTTCAAATTCATCTCTTTTGACTTTATCTTCCACAACGCTCAACCCTCGCCTCCCCTTTCCCCTCTAGTTCTTCTCCCTTCCCAACTTTTACCCGCCGTCTTAATGCTAGCAGAAGAGTAAGGAGGCATGAGCGTTTATCTCTTCTCATATTCGTCGATAATTCTTGCTATTATTCCGAAAGAGTGGAGTTAGAATCACGACGGAAGAAAAAGTAAAAATCGATTTGGAAAAAAAAGGCAAAGATGGCGAAAGAGAGAGAAAAAAGTATGGCTTGTTAAGTATAAAAAATGTACGTTCGGAGATGATCCATTCGTTTCGAATTCAGCTCAGTTTAAATCATGCAACATGTTCCCCGGAAAAGCAATGTATTTATTTATATTCCCGAGTCTTTGGCTGTCTGATGCGGTAAAAGTAATTTCTTCTATGCACCCTTAAACGCCAACGCCAATCATCTCGCTGTTGAAAATCGCTTTCATTCATCGTCATATGTCTTTGACTTCGTCTCATATCGTTTCCCTTTCGGGATCATGCAACCTCCATCCTTTCCTTCATAAAGCGCTGATTTGCTACCCCTAATTCTTACTCCCGCCCAATCTTCATTTCTTCATGGCGTATTTCTTTGTATTTTCCTTCGCTTCCTTTGCAAAACCGTCCGCGTCGTTCTTCAACTTCTCCGCAATCGTGTTTTCTAAAGGATCATCTGGATTTGGAGTGATTAAAAGATTCCTGATCGCCCCAAGAATAGCTGTGATCTTTCCACTAGGCTTCCATTTGTCTTGCTTCAACTCATCCACGCAAATTGATCCTTTTTCATCAAAGGTAATGTTGGGGTGGTAAATGCGAGTTACGAAGTTGACCACGGGAGGTTTGAATGGGTAGTCTTTGGGTAGGACGACGTTGAGAACAAATAAACCACCCTGACGAGCCAAGTGTTAGTGAAGAGTTGAACAAGAAGCTGCGTAGATAGAAAACATACGGCATATGGTGTATCTGCAGGGCCTTCCATCTCGACCTTCCATAGATGCAAATCTTCCTCCTTCACTAAAGATGTGCTGATGCCTGGGATGGGGTTATCGGTCACTTCCTTGAACTCCTAACATACATTCTGTTAAATCAAATTCTGCTTCGATTGGGGTTCAAGAGTAAGAGTTGCGAACCTTGGCGATACGTCGTGCTGCCATCTTGACGGTTAATAGCTTCGAAGGTAGCTACAAATTATGGTGGGGTAGGTATGTTGGTATGAGGGGAGGAAAGTCGAGAATTGAAGTGGAAGTTGAGGTCCTGTTTACTTTATTATAATAGGAATGAGATCAGGATTTGAGACTTCTTACTTATAAAAAACAAGGAGTGAGTATCGATCTCTGAGAATTAGTAAGAATTGTAAAAGCAAGCTCTATTATAAGATTACTTGCTCCGTCTTGTTATTGAGTGTTTGATATGAGGTGAGTGATAGAGAGGTACTTCATAGAAAGCTATCCTAAACCAACCCAACCAAATTCACTCAAGGTTCACGTCAGAGCTTGAAGATAATCGGCATTTTCATCCCTGTTGTTCCGAGGAAAGAAAGTGCAAGGCTGAACATTTTGCCGGAAGGCTACATTTACGGAAGCATCGTCATATTGATGATTAAGTTGGCGGATTTAAAAAGTAGTATGGTGTTGCACAAAACTTTGCAAAAGTTGAAGCCTCAAGAAGGGTGTGAGTTTCTGCAGCGAAGAATTGCCCTCAACAATGTACCTAGGCAGAGGTCTTTAAATCTTTGTCTTTATCCATCATTTAAACCCTACCTAATTGAACTTGGTTGGTATTAGATAGATATAAGAATACGCCAAGTCTACAGAGCAGAGAACTCCATTATTCGTTCAGTTCCGCAAGTTTTAGCTCATTAAGCCCAGCTTCATGTCTATCACCTTCATAATATTGATAGCAAAACATCCGCATAATCATATATGCGTCGACTCTTTCAGATTATGTAACCTGGGGGTATCTTCTTTTTCTGAATGCCATCCTAAATTCAGCTATTCCCTTGATCATTCTCTCTGTAGAACCACAACCAACCCCATCATTCCCAACATAACAGTCTTAAGCCAAGGGTGCTCGCTGAGCAAGATAGTAACATATCCTACAAATGGTATATATCCCACTACACTGCCAATAATATCTTCTCTCTCAATATAATCTTGTCCACGCGCATATAATTCTGTATCATCTGCCACATTGTTGTCTCCCTTTGTCAATAACTTTGCTTTGGGCCTGTGGTCACAAATATCAGCATGGGAGTCCGTGATACTTCCACCGCGCCAGTGAGATAGAGGCACTTACCCTGCGCCAAACTTTCTAACCAATCGATGCACAATAGGTATATCCTTTCCCTTGACATTGTAAACCACAATTTCCCCAACCTTGGTTTCTTCAAGTAAATTCCTGTTCCATAGAAATAAGAGGTCTCCACGCTGGAATGCAGGTTCCATGGAGCCAGACAATACGACAACAATTGGCGATGGAGAGTCTGACGCTACTGAAAGACCTTTCCACATCATGAACGCCGTAGAAAGAATGAGGGCGAAGTTCAGCACTTGAGCCGCGGCCTGGCGGGGGTTCTGGAGAAAGGAAAGCATTGTCGCAATGCGCAATCCCTGTGTGAAGTCTGGTAGGAATTCAAGCTGTGAGAATCAGCAGATTGATCGTCTTGAGACAATTCAAAGATGATGGGTAACCGTTTCGTGATGAAGATTGCGATCAAAGGTACGAACACATTTCTTACAATGGGAAGTTGTAAATGAGGACACCTTCTGACGGTAAGGATTAGTTATGCTTGATTTATGCTTGACTTATGCTCGTACTATATTACTGGTCCGTGCGTTATGCATCTACAACAGTCTGCCTGGCCATGCAGGTGGGCAGTGAGGCAGTCTCATTTCATTGTCTTCATCTGGATACCTAGTACGCAGTAATTGAGAGAATCAGAGGCTTCACGAAGCTATTTTTCATATAGATGACATGGAGTACACAGTTACCACGAAATTGAGTAAAGAACTCATCCATCTCATCAACAGAATAGTGTTAGAGTTAAGTAATCATCTTTCTCACTGACACAGGGTCTACCTCCCTTTCTTTGACTCTATGTCGTTTGGAGAAAGGGAAGGGAAGGGAAGGGAAGGGAGGGGAAGGAAAAAGGAAGCTTTTCGAAATATCAAAATGTGCAAGTTTCTGAATGCTCGAGACAGTTGAGTAGCTGCAGCTCATGACTTTGGACTGGCCGGTTCATTGTCCATAATATGGACTGCATATCGAGCTGTATTATGACAATCAGCCTCTTTCTGAACAATCGTATATCTAGAGTGCTTTTGTAGCAATCTTGGATATCACGACCCTCCTCTTCTATTTCTATCGTATACTCCCAAGAATTTATTTGCTAAGTAATGCCTTTCTGGTGCACCCCAATCGTGTTGTCCTTATATTGTAACCTTGCCATTTATTTTTGGCCGTTGTGCCTCTTCGCGCCTGCCATTCGTGTTGCTGAGAACGGGAAGTGCAGGTCCTCACTTCCTCCTTCCTGCGTTGCACTTCCCATGCTAATTTTCTTCATACCATGTTTACTTTCTTCTTCCCGTCTGTTTTCTTTCTCTTCATCTCACACCACGACACAGTTCATCGCAAAGCATCGTGTTTGTTCGTCGTTTTAATTACTTGAATCATTCATCAAATTCTTGTTTTGGTCACTTTCGTCTTTCGCCTCATACCTATCGAGCTTCCTTTATCCTCTTCCCCAGATCTTTCCCCTCAAAATGTCATCGTCCACCGCTTTGCTTCCAAGCGGAAGTCACAAGAAGAATGATCATGTAAGTCGTCTCAAAACAATTCCATTCATAATCCATTGGAAGCCCTAATTCAGTCACAGCCTATCTTTCTTCGTGCTTGCCACTCTCCATGGCTCAACGTCTCTCAGAAATCCCTCGTTGTGTTCAGAGGAGCCCTTGCAGCATACTTCCTGATCTCCAGTCTTGTGATCCTTCATTACGAACTAGAAATCAACAAAAATGGCTGGTTGGTCATCTACAACCTTTCGAATATCGTGTACGGCTTGCAAACTCTGTACGCCTGGGTTGCGTTTGTAAGTATTCGTCCTTGATTCCTTGTACTACTTGCATTTGTATCCATTCTCAATACTCAGTGCTAATCTTTACCCACTAACAGACCTGGACCTTCATGCATCTCTACTACCCGCATAGCAATGACAACAATTGTTCAACAATCTCTGCCTCTGTTAGGAAGTTCCTCTCACCATCTCGCAAGACCGCCAACACCAACGAAAAGTACTTGTTCAGTGTCTTTCATTGGTCCATTCTTGCTTTCCCTCATGTTGTTACCTTCATACATTGGGCAGTCATCGTTCCACGGAATGAAGCATCGATCCCGGGTAAGAACTCTTTTATGAAACCGCAACTCAATACTAATCAACAATTAGGTGATAAAATCTTTCATGATAAGCTCACGACTTTCTTCGTTTTCAGCAAGTATGGTTTCAACTCCGTCCTTGCTTTAGTCGAGCTCTTCATCCTAAGCAGTATCAAACGATCTGACGTAGGTTTTTCTGATTCCGTCTCACTTATTCTGCTAAATATGTTTCAGCCTGTCTGGAACCATGTTTTTGCTCTTGCTGTACTTTCTCTCGTATATGTTGGCTGGGCAGCTATTGGCAAGTACATTGTAGGAAAATACACCTACTTCTTCTTCGATCATGAGAAGACTGGATGGGAATATTACTGGGCATCAGTGGCCGCTTTTGTCGTTCTCGTTGAACTTTGTAAGCCCCCCCCCCCTTGTGATCTTGTAATCTTGCTAATGAATTTAGTCTTCGTCTTTGTGTATTCCCTCACGGGCGTTCGTGAGTCCATGACCAAGAAGCAAAATGACGATAAGAACACTGGATATCAAAGACTTCCCCAGTAGACTTTTGCAACCCAGAAAGAGAGGCGAGAGAACTCTTAGCACAATCGCCGAGGTGGATGAGTCTTGCGTAGAAAGATTAAGAAGGATCAAGGTTTTGATGGACAGCAATCCTAATGAATTGTCCAGGTATCATACTTTTTGACTTTGCTTTGTTTGGCATTTTATTTGTTTTGTTTCCTATCCTGTTTTCGGACCGTGGTATGAAGGCCTTTGGGTTCTCTCTCTGTAATCATCCTAATTTGCTCACTTTGCTTTAGCTTTAGTTTGATACCTACATGAATTACTCCTTGACTTTCAAGTTCATGTGTTCCTTGTATATGGTGTTGAAGTGTGTACGTGGAGTTGAATACTGTAATTGGCTTGATCAAACTGAAAGTAAAGTGCCGAGGATATTTACAAGTGATATGACGAAAGCTCACATTTGATGAGCTGTAGTGATTAATCAAATTTTTCCCACGAACTTGTGGATAGTAATAAAAATGCGTGTCGTCTCTACTCGATGTGGACGACACTACCTCCGTGCCCGCCAAGACAAAAATCAATATACAAAAGAACCAACAACATTCCAGTCAATAACGGGTTGCGGGGAGTGAGGACAGCGGATGGGATTGAGTTTTGATGTTGGTTGCGAAAGACAAAAAAAAGGGAAGAAAAAAAAATGGTAGAGAAGAAACGAGTGGGGGAAATACTTGATCTGAGTGTGGAGGTTGAATTTGAAGGTTCGAAAGGAATGAGACACTATTACTTCTACCTTTGCTTTGAAAGCTATTGCCTGTCACATCATATATCACCACTCGTTAGTAATGATGTAAAAGTTTAACTTGTTTTTGAATTACTGCTAACTACATAGCCTTTCGCTGAAAACTGACACCTGCCACACATCTCCTCCATTCATAATCCGCGCTATTAAGACGTTGCCCAAGAAGAGAACGATGGTAGATAGAATACAATACTGCTATAAGCAGACCCTGTTCGGGAAGTTGTTTCACCGCGTATTGTATGCCATTGCCAAAGTACAATCCAGTCCCCTTGACGTGATCTCGAACATCTTCCAACATCCATCCTCGATACAAGATACAGCCATTGGAGCTTCCTCTGCAGACTAACATATACCATATTTGAAACCATTTATGCAATTCTGTCATCATTTGAAGCAAAATCTCTGTATGTTCCAAAACATACCAAAGATTAGACCGAAAAGAAAAAAACAAGAGAATTGAGCAAGAACTTTTTATCATATACCATCCACTTCAATAGACGGTATATATGCCTAGCAGCACAACCGAAATCTATGAAACTTTTGTGTATGATGACCATGCTTTTGTCTATTGCCAATTCATCCATCCTTACGCTAGATATACAAAGTACAAAGAAAATAATTAGACAAAAAGAAATTTGAGGCCAGGAATGACAGTCAAAAGGTGTCATGCCGTCCATCATCGTAATTAATCATTGTTCAGGAATGATTATTGAGTATTCGCGAGCTGAAAGAATTGGAAGCAAGATATATGCAATAATTTTTCATGCATTGCTGCGACTTCTCTTGTGTTGACGTCCCTGCGATGCACCGCTCGATTTCCGCTTTCTGTTTGCAACGTCACCGGCGGGACTAGAGGGCATGAGGGTTTTGGGTTTTCGTCGTGGGGTTAAAGAGCTTGTGAGTGAATCGAGGTGTCCATTCTTTACACCTTTGATTGTGGAGGTTCCAAATGCTAGTGCATCTTTGGAAACAGTATTGCTGTTGATGAGGTTTTCGTTCTGTCGATTAAGGCGAAAAGCACCAACGTTGGTATTCTTGTCAAGGTGGACCAGAAGGGGGTGAAGGCCATTGGACGTCGTTGGGCGAGCAGGGGTAGATGACGGCGTTTCGGCTAGATCGTCTACAGATTCACCTTGCTCCTCATCTAATGCCTCATCCATGTGAAGCAAGTCACCCCAATCAAGAGGTTCATTCTGATCATCGCTATCATCATATGATGAACTGCTCGTTGGGCGAATGGCATTCTCGTTCATGAAAACGGAATTCTCGAAAAAAGCTTCCGGGTTACCAGTGTGGTAAGATCCAAATTCGGATGGAGTATCTGATACTGCGCTCATCATAATGTTGGCTTGATTGCTAAGAACTGGATTGTACTGTTCCATGCTGCCGTTTCTAAGGGGTGAAGGTGAGCTAATATCCTGAAGTCTGGTAGGGTCGGAAGAGTACATTAATAGGTCCTTTCCATGCTCGTCTAATATAACAAAGGGTACATCAGTATTGTGATACCAAGTAATGACATCAGGTTGTCCCTTTTTGCGCTGAATTCGAAAACCAAGACATGGTGGAGGTGGTGGTGAATTGCCTCGAGGTGTAGACGCATCTATTTCTGGACGATTCTCTCTCCAATCTTCATCGTCAGTTGTATCTCCGCCCGAGACATCGCTAAGATCAGCTTCAACACATGGTTGTTAGTCCTCGGCTCAAAAGCTACGCTTGATAAGGGTGAGCAGCTCAGTTTGAATTAACTTACATTGATACCCAGATGCATCTGATTCATCACCATCACTTTGTCCAGAATTATCCGAGTCATTGTTTTCGTTTCCCCATTCTAAATCTGGATCGGAACCATGATCGTCATCATTGTATGTGTCGTCCTCCAGTCCTCTTGCAATCCGAGGTGGAAGTGCATCTGCACTTAAGAATGGGCCTTGAGCGGAGGTCTCGGTGTCGAATAGATCAGGGTGCCACATATCCTCATCATCAGAGTTGCTGCTATCTGTATCGTCGTCGGTGAACTTATTAACCCTTTTGAGATCACCATTGGAACGAATTTTGTACTCCTCGATCATATTATCCTCGAAAAATTTAGTATTGTTGGCCAGTTCTTCTGCCGAATCATCAAATCCTTCCCATTCTTCAAACTTCATTGTTGCTCGAGGTGTGTCTTGTACATCAGTATCCTCCTCGACAGTCTCTAAGTCGTCATCTTCCTCGGCCGATTCGAACATAGCTGCTTCTTCATACTTTTCAATCTTAGACCCCCCGGTCCCCCCAAATACATCGGGCTCGTCATCTGAATCATTGTCTTCAGAATCACTGATCAAATCCACAGCAGCATACGAAGAGTCGGAGGAATAATCTGTGACCTTTTTGGAATTCTTCAACTTAAGCTTGATCTTAGGGGGAGTCTTGAAAGACTGTCCTTGTGTGTTTCGAGACATTGTGTTTGTGTTTTGTATGATCTGCAAGAAATATTTGTTGTGGGGTCGGTTGCGTATGACCGAAAGTATCGGCGGTGAGAGGAAGGTTGCAGATGGGTGGAGTGTAAAGGTAATGTTTTGTGGTAAATTGTGACTGATGCGTTGTAAAATAGGTCAATCGAGTCTATGAGAGTTGGTCTTGAATTGTGTTCAAGTCAATTGAAAGATTCGAGGTTGTGTAGGTTGTCGGTAGGTAAAAAAATGTTGATTTTGGATTGTTTGGTCGATGAGAGCTTTCTCACCTTGGAAAATGGCAAGGTTTGAGCTCGATCGATAGTGGTGATTGAATTTGAAACTTCCGAATGATATTAGACCAATTTGTTATAAGTTGGCTGGTAAGACAGTGAAAGTCTAGTGATTTTGTCAAGATCGAATGGTATAAGATTGGGGAATTTACTCGTTGGCTGAAGGGACTACAGACATGCCCGGTTGAGCATGCTGTAGTGGGTATTCACTGCTCAGCGATGGCCTGCGGCATTGTCTCGACGTATTGATGATTATGAGGATATAATTATTTGAATAAGTGTAGGGTGACTTCGTTGTCTTATATTGAATTTGGGTTGTTGAAGTGGAAGAGTGAGAGGAAGAGGGAAGAAGAGAAGACATAATTAAGTTTTTGGAGGGGGTGACAATTTTCATAAATTTGACGCTAAAGATTGCAAGTGCAAGGTGAATTACTACTGGGAGAGACTAGCTGACTGGCTCGATTGGGTAGATAATTGAAATGGAAATTTCATTTTTTTTTTCTTCTCTCTTTTTTTTGGTTTGAGCTTCTGCTAATAAATTGTGCGTGCACGTCGATAATCCTTGCAGAAAAATAATATGGGGATTGGTCGACATGAACGTTTCAACCGAAATTGATTGATTGGTTGATTCAGTCACACCTCTCTGTCTGTACCTAGGTAGGTAGGAGGTACTAGTAGGTATCTACTATCCAGCAAGTATGTAAGATTACAAGTACCTACTCTTTACTACTTTTCACTTCGGCGGGTAGGTTCATTGCTCACCGCTACTATCATCGATATCAACTTTCAAGAGACCATCTAGCTACTCGACAATGCGTACCTACATAGTAGTTTCGTAGTACAACTCCGAGCACTCATTGTCGTATGAGGAATATGTATTCTGCCTCCACGGCAGTGGCCCCCGGAGGGTCAGCGAAGTGTCAGCGAAGCGTCACTTTATTGACTACCCAGAAGTCACTTTTTCTAGATACTCTTAGAGTCATAATACCCAGGTGTTAAAGGGAAAGAGTGGATTAGGCTTACCGGATACATATTCTGAACTCGGCCAAGACGAGAAAAAGTAGATACACAAGAAAGGAACCAATTTCATTCGTCAATAGTTAGCATCTATCTGTTTGATGGGAGCCATCTAGGAAGATTCGTAACTCCAGATCAAGGCATTTGCTTCACTAATTACCTGGGTAGTCAATTTCTGGGAGCCATCTAGAAAGATTTTCAAAAGCTAGATCAAGTCATTGATGCACGATCCATAGTATAGAGACGCCCGAGCTAGGTCGAACTAAGATACATATAACTCAAACGATTGATATGTACCAAGTTGTCGCATTTGGTATTCGTAACAAGGATATAAATATATGGAGATATGGAGCCATAGAAAATAAGTAGTCATCCACAAAACGTGTGCACTGCAAATCTCCCAAGTTTACATACGGCAGAGTCCTATGATGTATAGAGAGAAAACCAGCAAGGGATGGGAGAAGAAGTCGTGTTATTGGTGATAGCTGGAAAGCATCAAAGTGAAAATGTCGAATCATTCATGGCAAAATAGTTGATAACAAATTTGGAAGTGGAGATTTTGATGCTACGGCGGGGCAATTGCATACGATGTACAGAGTACGGAGTACAACGGTCCAGTCTGTTCTTCTCGACTGTGGTGTGGATACATTTCCATACCAAAATAACCAACAACGCATATCCCTAGCAAAGACTATTCATCTACTCCGTGCATGCAGAACATGTGTGTTCCCCATCAGGCCATTGAAAGAAGAAATGAATTTGTTATGCGGTATTGGCGGACATTGTGAAAATCTTTCTTTCTCTTTACCACAGATGACTTTAACTTCAATTGACGCTCAAACCCGTAAACTCCGGGGAAGAGATCAACATCAAGATAACAAGGTGTTCTCAAAACCGGTATGTAGTTGGTTGTGAACAGGAAATGGGTTTTTCCTAAAACGGGATCTTCGGTTTTTGAGGTAGGTAGGTAGGTAGGGAGGGAGGTAGGGAGGGAGGTAGGGAGGGGGGTGTCGGCGAGTGGTATCGGAGATCTGCGGCATCTAACGTAATGGCAATTTATCTAGTTCGTAGGAAGGTAGGAATGCCATAGAAGTAATGATTCATCTTCATCGAGAATGTATTTCATCCCGAGGGACTGGAGGAAAGGGTCTGATTCATTCCTCGAGATATCAATGGATATACGGAGTATGTGGTGTGTAACCTCATACCTTTGACTCTTGAGGCTGATATATGTCTCAGGAACCAACTTTGCCCCTGTTACTCGGTTGCTGACCTACCTGCCTTTCGAGCTTACCTTACCGGACGACTCATGCTTTTTAGTCAACGATACGATACCTACTTGTATAGTCATACATAGCACCTAGGTAGTTACTCTTGAACTATTTCTTCTCTTGTGAGGGGGGGAGGGGTCAACGATAGATTATCTGTACTCTTGCCTTCGCACCAAAAAAAAAAAAAAGAACCCCTCTTCCCTTTAACGTTAAACTTCTAGCCTCTCCATATCACATCATACCTAGGTATTGACAATAAATTGCTCAAAGTGGATGAAGTGGGACCAATCAAAGTGGAGTAAGGGTCTTGCATTTTTTCTTTTCTTTTTCCCGTTTAGTTTATCTTTTTGCCAGGCCAAAAGCGGTGAGTGGCTAGTATGGGGAAAAACTATCTATTGCCCAGGCACTTCAAAGCTACTAGGTATCTACCTAGGTAGCTTTGAAAATCTTTCCCGCATAAATTTTGTGCATATCGACTCTATCCCTAGCACGTGCCCAGGTAGATTTGCGATTACATAATGCTTTCTTGGTATCTGGAAAATGTATTACCAGATGAACACCTGGGCATAATGCAGTGAGTGGCGTCTGGTATATCTCAATGACAGTGAAATAAATCACGTTTTTTCATAGCTCGGTTGCCTGCAAAATGCTGTATCAAATTCGATAATGGTAGTAGTAAGGTGCAGTATGCAGAATCCTCTCATTCGTTCTTCGCCTGATTTTCTTCTTCCCCATATTCATCTTTACCCTCCTCCTCATCTTTTTCCTCCACCTTTCCCCGCTCTGCCTAAGCTCGTCATCAACATCTTGATCCAAAACGTTGATTCCATCGTAGCAGCAACTGATATCGCCTCAATGACCATGCCTTTGACAGTTTTTGTGGCCCTGAAATCCTTAAAAGTTGATCCCGATAGAAGGATTTTGGGGTTTCTTTGACTCGGACATGGCTAGCTTTCTCTTTGACAGTAATTTGGATTCTGGCTCAGCACATTTCCGTTGTTCTGAAGTATGAAACTTACGTTCTTTAATCGTGTTTGTAGTTTCCGATGTTGATGGCCTTCTTCGAATCAATACTCGAGGTTTGCTGAAAGCTTTGTACATCCTAAAGTTGCTTTCGGAATTATGGAATACCGGTTAAGCGACTTGATTTCCAGTTTCGCAACTGTTTAGATGATATCCGTGAATTTATACCTTCTATTTCTTATCTTTGTTGGCACTGGAGATTGTGTGGTTATAGTTGCCATCACTGGCGCCTTCGCGGCATAGGAAGGGGGTTGAGACAAAGCCTAACAATTTTCCCGTTAGAATGCTCGTGATGACCGTCACAGCACTTTGGTTTTATCAATCATAAGCATACAGTCATTGCACTGTTCTGGCAATACTACTAAGTAAATGTTCTCTTATCGTTATTGCACAAGATTTTGCTCTTCAATCTTAGTGGCTACGCGCTCATTTATTCTTCATCAAAATTGTTCTCCCGGTCATTCGACAATCTCTTTGCAGATATCTATCCGTCAATTATCATCGCTTCACCCTCTTGGTTATATCACCTATCGTGGAACTCTTCTCAGCATGAGTATGTTCCATGCTACCGTCGACCCTATGGTTCTCTTTGCTATTCGGAATGTTTTCATTTTCATCCAATTCTGTCACCAATACGGTTCCACCACGAGACGTAAGATCGAGACCGGGATACATCTTCGGAGGTGGCTTAACCTTTTCTCGAGATACTTTTGAATTATCCACAGTATCGGATGCTTCGCTGCTTTTGGGGTCCACAGAGTTCTCACCCCGAGGGCCTCTGCATCTGCAGCAAAACAAGTTGGTGGTTATCAAGCCAGCTTTGAAAAAGAACTGCTCATATGTGCGCAGAAATTTGGCAAAGTGCCAGGCACAAGCAATAATAAAACCAATGAATGTCTCGGTAATTCTGTCGAAATTGATCCCTTAGATCGAGATATGAAGAGCAAAGGAGAGATTGATACTTACGTAACTGACAATATAGGTACCAACCACCAAGTGTTGTCCCCGTGTTCACTACCGTGAATAACACGATACACAACGCTCATTACTGATGCTACAATAGCACTATCTGCAACGTTAGTCATTGAAATCATTATTCAGTTCAGAGCAGATAAGGATGGATCGAACTGACAAGAATCCAGTAGCGAAGATCAACCCTGCACCTAATCTCTTCCTTTGAGTTAACTTCAATTTATTGAGTGCAATCATCGGTAAAATGCTAATATATGGAGGTATTAGCAATCATACGACAGGAGAACTAAATTCCATTTCACTCACAATAGATAATAATCAATGGCCAAGCCCACTACAGCCGTCGGGATGCTAAGAAAGTTCTGTTTAATCATACGTGAGGTGAACAGGTGCTTTAACCATCCTTCGCCTCCCAGTGGAACAGCCAAACAAATTCCGGCAATGGTAATCGCAGAGTACCATACGACGGTGAATGAAAGCCCCATGAGACACGCCATATTCATCCACTTCATGCTACGAAAGATCTCCATGTATGTCAAAAATATGGTCGTCTTCACTAAACCCAGAGTGAGAGGCGTGAGCCACGGTAATAGACCAGTTGTCTATAGACTTATGTTAGTTGTGACATGGAGAGCTGCTTAAACTGACAGCGTGAGGAGACGTACAATTAAATTGCGGTCGGATAATAATTGCGAGACTGGAAAATCCCAATTATGCAGCCCGAAAGTTCCATTACCGGTGGCGGCTGCAATAAGATCAGTTACTGTCCGTAATTGAATTGAGCCAAAAGAGAAGGTCATGCGTACACAATATCACCACGACATAGAGAGTTATAGCAACAAGCTATTATTCAAATTTACAAGTCAGTATGATCCAGCCTATGTGACTTCCCAAGGATCTTGCATACTACTGTAAGTGTAAAGGTCACTACGAAAAGCCTGTCAGTTGTGGTTGCTTTCCTAAGTAGATTCAGATAAAACTCACTATCACTCCACCTCAATTTTACAGGTCGCATAATCCAAAATACCACCCAAACTCTCACAATTATACAAATTATCATCAAACACATCATGACTGTAGGAATGAGTATCAATATCTCTCTGTGAGAATCGGGATTGACCCAATTGGCAGTAACTCCCGGTGGAGGCTGAAATGCTGCAATATCTTCAAGCGTGGAGGAAGGTAAATTGGAAAAAATCTCCCCTAGATTTCCTTGAGCCATTCTGGGGATTAGAAAGGACCATAATTTTTGTAACGGAGCCATGCTACTTGAGGTAAGATGAATCTTCGGGTGAACGATACAATATATAAAGATCAAAACAGGATATACTGATTGAGGGTGAATTGTAGATGACTTGTCTCTTTTATTGTTTCGACAAAACTAGGCACAACTTGCTACATGTACTTGGGCCAGGGTTCTTGCTTCACAAGTGTGAAAGGATTAGACGGTTTCTTTCGGATTTCTTGACTGGAGGTAGTGGACAAAGAGTCTCCATCTAGGCTTATGTATTCGATATCGCGTGACGAGATTTCAAAAAATGTTCGTCTATTTAGTATTTTCTCACCACATGTCATCATAAGGAGCCATTGAAACCTTCCTTAAAAACGCTCTTATTTCCCATGTTCATCCCAGAGGAGAGTCCGATTTTCTCCTCATAATCTATATTGTACTCTGATTGGGGCATGTTCACCTGGAAACAAAGGACAGTCAAATAGTGGCTCGGGGCTAAAACGGAGCAGGGAACTATTTCATCTGATGTTGGATTCATCAGATTCTTCTTTTGTATGGATGTTCCAAACCTTCTGTAGATCTCTAGGAACAGGAAAACGTTTTTCATTCATCTGACATGAAAGATCTAGATCCAATTGGAAGGTTAATAATCAAGCATGACAAAGAGATTGCCCTTCGAGAAGTAGTCCAGAAAACCCCAAGCTTCCTACAATCAAAGAGATTGATCTTTCTGGAAAACGTGCTAGCAGACCGTGTATCCCTGTACTGCTGGTACTCATTGACAGTACCCAAAGGAACTAATACCCAAAACAAAGAAATCTATGCGACATTAGATCTGGTCTTGGTATTAAAAATTGCACTCCAAGACAGTAGCAATGATTTTCGCAGTTGACGACCGCTATCTCAACTTGAGTGGTATGGTACAAAGATTCGGATCAATAATTGAAGTTCTTTGACTAATTTTCTACTTGCTGACCTGGAAGCCCAGTACACACAGTCATAACCTAAAAAGCAGCGACTAAAGATGTCATACATCTGGCCAGGCATTCCTGATTGTAACCAAACAGTCTTGTAATTCTAGATGGATTGTAAGATTATCAGACACAGCATTAATTACTTTAGTCATAAGATCAAGAGAAGGACCACCTGAATGATGTTGAATCGATAACCGAAAAATAAGTCTCACTGAGGCTCAGTGGTAACTTGGAGTTGGGCAAATGAGTTTACAAAGATTTTGATATGAAGATTGGCCCTGAGTAGTTGAGGATGTCCCTGATTTTACAGATCGCACGCAATCCACAGAAAAAAGCTGGATGACTGTTTTACACAAAACTTATCGCGAAGAGCAAATGATGCACTGATCTAAAAAATCAGCAGCGTGATATTTTTGCTGACCTTTTGTTGAACGGCCCGGGAATCTTCTGCGTAAGATGTGCGGCTTTCCTTGGTATCACCATGAGTGCCTTTAATAGTTTGTGATATGCTACTTAAGGTGATGTAAGCCAAGGCACTTTCTGACTTGCATTGATCAATAGTCAAAAGTAGTGTTCAATAGTTCGGTCATTGGGTAAGATTTTGTTCAATACATTCAATGAGGATTACAAGTCACAGATAAATTATAGGGAAAATTGTATGTGTGGAAAATAAAACCTGTCTATTGTTTGTATTTTATGTGTTCTAATTATTATTCATAGTCGTTGATTCGTTATTGTCGTTGTCATTGTTGTCGTTGCTGATCGTGCAGTCAGCAATCGTCAACCCATATAACACAGCCCACCAGGCCGTACGCAAGAGTAACCAGTCTAATCAATCCTGTTTCACCCAGGCCAATAAGCTTCCTTTGCATCTGTCATAGTTTTGCGTGCAATGAAGTGCTCATGGATCCTCGGTTTGATTCTAATCCCATTTATCAGCATTTGAGTCACTTAGGTGGAAGGACTGTTAGAATACTTACATCCCTGACGGCATAATTATAGTAACAGTTGACATTGGTTGCAGGGCTATAGAAAGCCTCTCCAGTGCCTTTAATGGCCGCAGCTGGGCCAGCGAAACTGCTAATGGTGGCCGATGCAACAATCTCTTGATAAGTCGCTAACGTAGCATTTTTTGGGATAGCGGCGGTCAATTTGAACGGGGATTTAATGGCGAGGTTGAGGCCTTCAAAGGTCACTGCTTTTTTAGCGTTGATGACACCGACAGCTTGTGGTTCTGGGAAATCTGGGAGGAAATCTGGGTAGTACCAGAACGTGGAGGCATAGGAAGCATGTGTGACATTGTTGTAGCAGTTGGAGAGGATGTAAAGTTCGGCAGTATCGCGCTTGGCGGCGGGAATAGGTGAGGAGACAGAGATGGTAGTGAGAGCCAAGAGGCCAGTGATCAATGAGGCAAGCATGTTTGGTAATGTGAGGTTGATAGGGAGGATAAGGCAGATCTTATTGGGCGGTATGTGGTGTAACTGAATAGTAGATAGAATTGAATTCTCGTCTTGGTGATGATGGAGAGGAATATCACACAGAGACAACACTTCCTTATATAATTCTTAAGCAGCTTGGATTGGACTTGCTCTGGAACAACCTCTTCGCGCGAGGAATAAAAGAACTGCCTCGCCCATTTTTCCCAGTAATCTGGACCTGATGCTCGTGTCCAAAAATGGCCTGACGAGCTTCGGTATAGCAAGTACCAGGTTAGTTCACGATAGCGTAATCGCAAAATTTGCAGTCAGAACTTGCTTCCCTAAACCCCACGCCTTCAACGAATGTCAAGAAAACTACAAATCATGAATACCACTATAGAAACCCGTACCTGTAGATCTATCGACCCACTGTCTCTGCGATGACTTTTCATATCTGCACCGGAGATTGGGACTAATCTGGGTTGGAACTAGGCTCCGAATTCCGAGAAAATCGACGTGCAGCCTTCAACATATGCCCTCAGCCGATAGAACATTTCTGCACTGCAATACAATGCATCTCGCATATATCTAGTACTGTGGACAAGTAAATAGCTCACTCCATAACTGCACTTGCGAATAGAAACCTGTTCATAAAAGCTGAACCATATGTAACTCGCAACCATTAGGGAAAGGTGTCCGAATGGCTTGCATCTCGCTTACAGAATACTAGTCTATCGAGTCTATTTAATATATGGAAGAAAACAATAAGGAACGCAATTGATATCGAGGTCCAGAGTTTCCCCACTTAGAAATAACTACTTTGGCATTCCAGGATAAAGAAAAACGAAAAATAACGATGGATGGATTGTCCACTTGCTTACCGCAGCCAGCCTTGAAGAAAAACGTCGGAATTATTAACCCCCATGTTTCCGCTTGCCCCGCCCCGCTTGGATCCTACCTCGGCTTCACCCAAACAAAATCATACACTGAGAATACTAATACTCAGATATTTAATCACGAAATCAGTATTCGATTACACTGTACCGTATAAAAGACAAAACATTTGAATAATTCGAAGGGGTTTTGATATATGCATCTGAATTTCGATTCTAAACGTTAATTGTTTGAACTGATATCGAATATTGGAGAGTGAATGTGATATTCTTAGGTGTCTCGTTTTTGCGCCCATGTGAAGCTCGGTCACTGGAATTGTCCAAGATTTTTTTCTTCCAACATATCCATGAAAGATGTATCGACGCCTCTATGACAAGTATCTTTGATCGGAGCGAACTAAAAGCCAGTTGTTCGGAGAAAGCACGTTCTTGGATGCTGCGAAGTTGTGGCTGCATCGTGTAGCCTGTGTGGACGTGTGTGAGAGAGAGTGTGTTGTGTGTGTATGTGTGTTAGTAGCCATGCTCAGCCATGGTATAGGATGTATGCTGGCTGAGGATAGACTGCATCTAGGATCATTGAAATGTCGGTCTGCACCAGCTGCTCATGGATGGAAAAGCCTAGAACAGTGTAGGTACTTTGCAGCCAAAAGACTTCTTGATAATGAGTTATTTCCGACAACGATGGGTCATTGTCGACTTCAATCCCATCAATATCGGCGAGTTCCAAATGAAATGCAGCGATGAATTCCGGCTTGAGCCCGCTCGAGGCCCGGTTGTGGTTGAAGAAAAGTTCATTAGGGATCCATCAAACAAACCCCAACGCTGATCGGATCTCGGGTTCTATGGAAATCAAGTCGGATTGGCGAGATTCGCAAGGAATATGCAGGGAATCGCTGCAACGTACTTCATTGGAAGGTGGGTTTTCCCGCCTTTTGACAACGGTTCGAAAGTGCTGTGAGATGGACCGTTTTAAATTTTACAAAGTACTTCGGTGGCAGCGGTATCCGGGAGAGTGGAGTGCGAGTGGGGTGGGAGTAAAAAGGCATTGGAAAGGAATCATCTTCAACTTCATTAATATTGATCGATATCAAATGTCTAATTTTAGCTGCCAATTTTTCCTTCTGTGTTCCAATGTATTCATCGGGAAAAATTTGTTGTTCCAGATTCCATATCGATAAATTCGTGTTATGCTGAAAATACCATCCCGGGGGATCCCTGTCTTTCCAAGCTCGTCTGAGATATGGAACTGCTCAATTTCGATTGTTGTGAATGGTGCTAATTCGCATGATATTGAAGGCTACTCATATTCATAGACCCACCATCATCATACCCTTGTGATTTTTAATAATAGCCAACACTTCACCCTGGAACATAGAGGATTTTCGTTCTAGATTTCAAGCAGAATCTTCAAATTCTTAGACTGTTTGACGTATCGGATTCAATTTGGATGTTGAATTAATCTCCTTTATGAAAGCTCACAACTAGACCGCGCCTGCTATCTCATGTCCACCCCTAAAGACAAGAACATTTCACAGCAAGATATCCCAAGACTTTCGCAAAGCGACCAAAGTATCTATTGCATTTGTCTTCCTCGTCATTTTCCCGACGCTCAAGCATCTCGGAGATACTCCTTTGCTTTGCTACCTCCGCTTCATCTCTCATCGGCTCTGATCCAAGACCTCTGTTCTCAATCCGCCGTTCATGAGCATCAAGATTCACACCCTCAAGGATTTTCTCACCATTATCTCCGGTTTCTTCCACAAAGGCAACAGATCTTCTCTCTTCGATTCTTGACGTCCTTGAGCCAGCACCCGATCCATAACCAAAATCACGGGCTATGTTCAAGCCAGGTAAGTCAATACTAGGTTGACCAAATGTTTCTTCCTCTGGGAGTGAAAGTGTCAATGGCGTTTTAGATCTCAATGCACGTTCTGGTTCTCCGAGTTTGCAATTTTTCACCGAAGAAGGTGGGAATGAAGCTGAAGCATTTCGTGTGAGATTTTTATTTACTTCTTTTGGTTCTGCGCGATATCTGATGGGACAACTCAATGAAGATGTATGAAGAAACGAAGCCCCAGGGGTGGAGGGTCGAGAACAAACCCGTGTTGGAGGGTTCAGGATTGAGAATTTTGAATCAATCATATTCCTGAGCTTTTCGATTCGCTCTTCCGAGGCTGAAATTTGTATTTCCAGTTCTGGTGTTTTAGAAAGAGATAAGCAAGAGAAACAAAATAAATGACTTGAAACACGAGGCTCATTTTGGTTTCAGAGATATCTTAATTAAGACATATAGTGTTATGTTGAACCCATTGATGTTCCACATGTCAACCAATGTCTTTGTCCTGGGAAATTGGTGTGACGGCGTTCTTCTGTGAAAGATCGAAGCTTGAGTATCCTCTCAGAACATTGAAACTGTAGTGAGTTTGGCATCTTATGTGGCTAAGAGTCTACTTCAACTAATCTCACTTTGCACCTTACCAATTTTTTGGATGATTTCAAAAGAATTGGTAACATCATTGGAACTTGTCGAAAGGATTCCTTCTCAGCCCCCCGGTGGCTGCAATGCGCTTCAGTTGTCTGTTTTGTGAAACTTCACTAGATGATACAGAGTAGGGAACTTCCTCATTCCGACAGATTAGAATGTTACCTCACATAACCAATAAGCTCTGTATGGCTCCCACACTAATCGCGGTAAAGCTAACCATGTAACCCGCGATCGTGAAGGCATCCTGAATACTATGCTTATAAACTGCCCAAAGAACTCCAAGCAGTAAGCTTCCAATCCCAAAGACAATAAAAGCAACTATCCAAATGCTTTTCATGTCCCAACCTTCCACAAACTCTAGTCCCCAGCCAAAGTTTGTAGGTTGTCCAATTTTACAAGAAAGTTTCTCCTTCAACTTCTTAGGGAATCGGTCAAGACATACAGTATCTTCATCGGCGTGATGTGGATGTAGAAAGAGGTGCATGAGATGATTATCACCAATTGGAGGAATCACTTCCGGAGGTGCGGGCGAGTAGCGATATTCAATGTGGTCGGGAGGTGGTATGACATCCTTTTGACGCACGTCGATGAGAGAGCTGCGGTACATCTCGAAGTGGACAAATTTTATCGATTTGAGAGTCTTCAATGATATCAGGTTCAAGAATCGACCTCTCATTGATTTATAATTAGTTCGAAGTATAGTGAAGAGTGATTGATCAGATTTAGGTTCGAGATTGTGAAGACCCAACTGCAGAAGCCTAGTAGCGTAGCGACCGGATGGGTAACATAGAAGAAGATACACATTCTCCACTGGAAGCGGTATCGGCTTTACGGTGTTTGGATTGTTCGAATCGAGTTGATTCTTTGATGGTTCGTGGGTGGGTAGGCCAGAGGAGAGACTTGTTCTCGAGGACTTCGAAGACCAGACAGTGAAAATGGAAGATAAGCTTTTCGAAAACGATTTGCTGCAGTCACTGAATCTTGAACTTCGGCTGGTATTAGTTCTACCAGAGTCGCTACTTGTGAGAGCTTGCTTAAGTCGGTTTGCTGCTCCAGGACGAAGTTCGGTGAAATCATCATAAATTTTGTGTCCACATTTCTGTGGTTGTTAGTTCGTGATTAGAAGTTTCTGGGATATCGCGTAAAACTCACACAGCGCCATTCAATCCGTGTCTTTCCAGTTGCAACTGGCGGTCTTCCCCGTATCGAAACCTTCTCAGAAAACAGTGCCAACTTTTGCCAGATTGGTTGATATACCCCTCTAACTATTTCTGACAGTGTGTCTGCTGAAGGCTGTTGGAAATTGTTCAATGCTGTGAGCTGCGTTCTACTCTCCCCTACATCTTTAGGAGTCGCAGCAAATTCATCCTCGAAGTCATCAGGCATTTCGGGTAATGCAAGTGCCCAGTTGTTTGTCTTTGAAGATGAACTATCTTGTCGAGCGGCTGCCATGGGTGTTGATGCGATTGTTAGCTGTGCTTTCTGTGGATGAATGAAAATCCGTAGTTTCTCCCGGAATAATTCGAAGGCTCTTGACTCCTTGACAAATAGTTCAAGATGTTGAAAGTCGTCGGAAACATCTTCCGAACTCTCCGATGCACTATCCGAATCGTCATCTATGTCCAAATCGCACTCCGTTTCTTCTTCTTCAACATTCAAAAGGTTAGCTCCATTGGCGTCACTGACATTATTTGAGCCTTTTTGTCCCTTTTCTGTCCGAAGAGTGCTGCAAATCACATGTGCAGAGTTTCTTGCACGAAAACGAACAAGATGTGCGGCCTGTCGCTGTTCTCGAGTTTGAGCTTCTTTTCGTAGTTCGACGGCAAAGCCCTTCAGTAGACGGCTAAGATTTCGCTCAAATCGTTCCCGAGACATTCCATTCTCCTGCAACGCATCTTCGCAGAGTGGCTTTATGATCGCATCTTCGAGAAGTAAACGAACTAAGCGTTCAGTTGCAGTCTGAGAGACTGAAAAAGATGACATTGAGGACCCCGTAGCAAGTGACATTGCTGAAAATATACTATCTGCAACTGATACAACGGAATCCGTAGCGGAGAACTCGAAAGAGTTGTCGCTTTGGTCATCAGGTATGTCCTCGATAGGTAGCCTCGAAGGAGAATCATTGTTTCCGCTATTTTCAGACAATGTCGATGCCGAGAGAGTTGAAGATCCCAGGCCTCGATCGTTTCGGTGGTGGGTAAGAAGATCACGAATCGCTTTGATATGGACTTCTCGATACATCGCTAATGTTGTTCGTGGCCAACCTTTTTCGTGTAATTTGCTGTGGACTTCATTTCCCAGCATTTTTATCGCACGATCCAATTCATCACCATCCATTTGCCCTAGCCACTGTGACTTCTCTAATATCAACTTTGCCAAATCAATTGCCGTCTCCGCTAGTTTCTCTTCAATATCCTGCGAGTCAACAATCTGTGGGCTCGCCGGAACCTCGGGAGTATGTATCCATATTTTCCCTGCTCTTTGATATTGGGACAACTTCATGATGTCTTTTATTCTATTCTCAGACATATGTTTTTTTATGGGATCTTCCTGTTCAGCCATAACAGAATCAGATACCTTCAAATATTCACCTTGAGATGTTAGTAGACTCGTATTCACATCAACAGTATCTCTAGCCAACTCGCCACGGCTTTCTATTCCTTTATCATGACCAACAACAGCCCAATCATGATAATTCTCCGACCGTCGAAGTCTCTTGGCAATGTTTGTATCGTAAAAACCTGCATGGTCCTGATATTCGGCAGAACTGTTTTCTGCGTCTAAAGAATATTCAGATTGGGTAGTGTTATGAGCTTCGCTAGTTGGACTTATGGTCGAGTCGCATTCAATAGTTCGACCAGAACTTAAACATTGTTCATCATTTGAAGCTACAATGTAGTTTTGGCTTTCGACAGAAATAGAATTTAGAACTTCTGGACTGATTCCGTGTCGCCATTCGTCGGCAACAGCTATTTGCTGCTTATTGGTCATGAGATCCCGTTTAGCGACCAAGTCACCCTGTTTCATGTTAATACGAGTTGAAAGAGCATGAAATCCTCCACTTGCCGTATCATCTCTACCAGACTCATTGTATAATCGCTTAATGGGAGGTAAATCTGACGAATCGCTGGATGCCAACTCTCCAATAGTGTGCTCCGCTAGAAAATTTCGCTTCAAGGATTGCCAGCCAAGTTCAGTCAAAGGGCGGACATCTTGGATAGTTGTTCTATATAATGGTATGCTGGCTAGCAAATCCTTGGTTAAAGGTGGATCAAGTTCCGCACAACGTCTCTCGATCTCTGCCCTTCTTTCAGCTCTCAACTCCGCAATTTCGAGTGTAGTTTTTTCTGGCATGGGCTTTGTGTATCCATATCCATCGTGACCTAATTCAGTAGACAGCTGACTCGAACTCTTTCGGAGGGTATCCGGGTTTGATTGAATACCAATATCAAGTGTTTTACTTTCCATGGCATCCTCCCAAGGAGTTAACTCTTCAATATCGAGAGATTGACTTGCGACTGGAGATTTGGATCCAGGCGTGGAAAATGCCTCATTCCTCCTTTCTTTAAGCTCGGCGCTGCCTTTATTTGGTCGCGATACAGTATCATCCCCATCTTCCGAGATATTTCGATGATCACGCAACCAATGTGCCAATTCTGATGAAGAATTCTTCTCAACAGCAGCCATGAAAAATTTGATCTGCGAGGATTTATCAGAAGAAGTAGGGTCAATTCCGAAGCTCTTCTCGAATCTGAGATAACGGTAATGGCACTGATCAGCCGTTTTAGTCCCAACTACTGTTGAGACAGCAGGCCAATCTTCCAATCCGAGTCTGGCAATAGTTCGTAGCAAAGAAGCATCTTCTGAGGTCGACCATCGTACAATATCAAATTGATTTTGAGAGCTGACATTATGCGAATCATCAATGTTTCGAAAAGCTTTCCCAAGATCTCGAATATTGTTGCTGGTGAATTTCCTCGTACCTGTGAGATCGTCCCTTTGCTTGAAATCAGGTTGCGAAATGTTCATTCCTGCTGGCCCATCTTTGACTATATCGGGAGATGACTCCACTACAGGAGCTGTCAATTGTCCAAAGAGTCTTTGCGCTTCCTGAAGCTTGCCCTGCTTTTGATAAACATGACCGAGCCGGTTCGCTGTATTACGAGTTGTGGGGTCACTGCTTCCCAAATATCTTTCAAAATTAGCCAAAGCTTGAAGATACATCTCCTCAGCTTTAGTCATATTACCCTGCCGATAATAAATGCGACCAAGGTTGTTTATTACTGCATTTATTAGCATTTGCGTGGGACCGCTAGCATTTTGATACCCATTTAGAGCTCGTAAATACATGTGCTCAGCTTCGACCAGCTTTCCTTGATCGAAGTAAACACGAGCAGTATTTTTCACAGTATCAATTGTGGATATATCGTCGGGACCTAATTCTTTTTGCTTGGCCTCAAGCGTTTGTAGAAGAGCCTTCTCGGTCTCCATCCATTGTAACTCCGAATCAATATTAGAAATCGCCGCAGCATGCTCTTTTGACTCATCTGCTTTGAGCTGTTTTATTTTTCGACGATTCCGGGTATCTGGATCCACTAACAACGGTGTTTCCATATATTGACGATTTTTCAATCGTCTTTCCATGTCATCACACAGCCTATTGATTTCATTTCTAGTTTCGTCTGTTGCAAGATATCTTTTTTGTGTTATACGTCGCTGTAGGTCATCGAATTCCCTACGATGACGGCTCTTCATTTCCTCGAAAGTTTCAAATGCTTCTCTAGTCAAATCATCGCTTTTTGGCCGAGGTATCTCTACAGGAACAAAAAATTTGCTTGCTGCGGAAAGCTCTCGATGATTTTCGGTGACATGATCTGGAGTTGATTGACATGGTACAGGGCTAACCTCACGATTGACCGCAGCAGGTAGCATCTCTGAAGATGATGGTTCGCGGCTAAATTTCACACGAGTGCCGCCATCTGAGTCTAATTCTACAGGATCCAGACGAATTTGAGCTGTCTTCAGCCCTACAAAGTCGGGAGGTTTCGATTCGCGATGGGAGGCAGAGAGGTCGTATCTTTGCATTCTCAACGGAATGCTGGAAGCTTTAAATCCTTCTGGCTGCTGCCCATATCCAGTCTTCTTACAATTCGTGGATATATGTTTCTAGTTATAAGTCAGATTCGACAGATTCGATTTAAATTTTAGGTATACTAGCTTCAAGATCATCATTTGTCGGAAACATTCCCTCACATTTATCACAATTGAAGGCCAGCCCAGTCGCATGCTTGTATTTATGCCATTGAAGATCTTTAGCCCTGTAAAATGATCGAGGGCATTGATCGCATTCAAAGGGAAGCGGCAACTCTACATAGCCTGTCTGGACATCGGAGTGTATTGCCTGCGAATCACCGTTGTGACTATTTGCCGAATCATGGAGATTGCCTGATGCAGTGCTGTGTGAGGCTTCGCGCCATCGATCTCGCGCTCCATCGCCATTATCAAAATGAATCACGTGGCCCTCCGCCTCTGGTAGTGTCTCCGGCAATGGCTCTGGAAACGGAAATTCAGCGTCGGACATCGAGGAAGCTGGCTGATAATCACAATCCCGACATGCGATACAAGCGTTAGTGAATCTAGTGAGGGTTGATAAACGATAGATGATTGAAACAACAAAGTCGACGCTTAAAATGATATGTAAACTGTAGGTGGGGTGCTGAGCACAATTTCTTCACCCGTCGAATGCTTACATGCATTGCATGGGGCTGTGTGGAGTGCAAGGCAAGTCGAGGGCGAAAGGTTCGCCATTATGCCCAATCGGTGGTCATCAAATCGAGATAGTGTAACCAAGAATTTACACCGACGATTGATGAAGATCATAGAGTCATCAGATAAAACGGAAAATTTTTGGTTCTGGAGCAAGGAGACGAAGGATTGGTGAGCAAATCCTTCGAATGTAATGGTAGGTAGTCAGGCAGCATGGCCTGAGATGAGATTATATTTGCAGGGAAACATATTCTAGAATACAATCATTACCACAAGAAGATGTGGAAAGATTGAACTCTTTGAGTAAGATATAACATGATGGGAACGAATCCGAAAGATGCACAATTTTCTGGTTATAGATATTTTGGGTTTAGGTGAATTGTTGTTGATATTGGGAAGACGCGTCAAGATTATTTATCTTTTAGACTTTCTTCCACACTGTCTGTACGAATTTATGGCACAAGCTAAGCCCACGATAGCCTGCCTCGAGCCGGCCTTAAGGTTAACCTTAATATTCCAAGGTTGCCCACAGAAATGACTCAATATTGATGGAACATAAGGCGTTGGCTACTCTTTTTGAACCTCAAGTCAAGGACTAATATATTATATTTATATTTCAACCAATGAGCCAATTCATTGTCAATCGTTCCATCGAAGAAGATCCATGAAAGGCATACATGGAACAAATTCCCAGAGTCGAGTCCGTTTTACGTGATATGCATGCTGGTCGGTTCCGATACAAACTGTCACATTGATGTCCATTATTCTCATACTCAACCCTCATCAATGTTTACAATCATGGCTATCTCATCTTGTGTTCACTCTTCCATATTGTTGAACCATGATAGCCCAACGAAAGGACCAGAAAGAGACCATCCGTGTAAGGATACGAGAACACGGAGACTTAAACGTTGAAAGATGGAAGAAAAAGGCAGAACAGACAGTCATCATCTGGATTCTGGATATTGTGATGTCGATTCATCGAACAACATACTGTAGATGTTCGCCCCTTCATCAATTATTACAACCAATGAAATGATGCTTGCATAATATTCATCGTTGCAACAAGAAGACATCCACAACTTCAGAAGTCAACCTTTGTATCAAAATAGATGAATGATTCTTCCAGGATCTACGAAATTCGGATGATTATCCTGATGTGGAATGGGACGCCTTTATTGCTATAAGCATAAATGGTACTGATACGGAGAACTACCCCCTAATACGACATTTGAATGCCCCCAGCTTATTTTTTGACTTTATTTCTCCATTACAAGTGGTCATCATCAAGAGATAATTGGCTTCGCCCACCCAATCTATGTGAATAGGCGCAAATGTTGAACGGGCGCAGTAAGCCACATTTTACAGCAGAACAATGGACCATGATAAGCAGAGGATGTTCGTATATATTCTACCTGAACCTCAAATCTTAGTGAACAAATTTTGCTAACAACATGCAGTTTATGTCATTTTTGAATGATCTGTAGAGAGATTTCCATTCAACATGCATTCATAGTGTTCGCTTCATCGTATTGAGTTTTTGTTAAAATGAAGTTTCCTAATATTGCGATAAGTTTTGCTGTGCTCAGCGAACTTCGGGACTTGGCATGCGGTAAGATTAAGCGCAACCCCGATACTTAAAAGACACTACTACCGCCATCAAAGTAACGACTAATGAAACTTCACAGTCTCTGCTCTCACAGTCTTTGCTCCTTCAGATGGTCCAGTCTATTCCCTGGGTATTCCTCCGACAACGGTTTCGGCTGGCACCGGAAATATATATTTCCAGCTCAGCGCACCAGATACATATCAATGGGCTGCACTAGGTATTGGGCGCACCATGGCCGGTGCATATATGTATATAATGTATAGCGACGGCAAGGGAAACGTCACTATTAGTGCGAGGGCTGGAGGACAAGGTCATGTAGAGCCAAAAGTTACTGGAGGACCAGGAGGCCAGGTGCAATTGCTTGCGGGTAGTGGAATTACCGGAGGAGTGATGACAGCGAATGTTCTGTGTAGGTTTTGCTATAGCACCCGGAGACTTTAGTTGTTTCTTAGCTTCGGGAACAATCTAACAATATTGATACGGAGATTTTATCAACGATCAGTTCTGTGTAAGCTGATGGGCATTAAATTAGGTACGAACTGCCCTCTTCCATCCACAACATCCACCGCTTCACCATGGATCGCGGCTTGGCACTTGGGCTCTCCGATCGACGGTACTTCGACCTCGTATACTATAAACCAACACGACGATAGCAGCTACCGTCAATTTACCTATGACCTCACAACTGCTGTAATTGGAACGGATGAGAACCCATTTCTATCTAATGGTACAACTACACCCATGTCGGGAAGTGGAAGTGAAGAGCATGGAATGTCGGCCTCCACACTCAACGCCTATAGTATTGCCCATGGCACTATAATGAGTATTACCATGATTATTCTCTTCCCGCTAGGGGCAATACTCATGACTATGTTTGGAAAGTGGTGGATTCACGCAGCGTTTCAAACATTCAGTTTGGTGATGCTGATTGCTGGTTTCGGATTAGGTGTCAAGTTGGCAATGTCCAAGGACTATGTATGTATTTTCGGACATCCACCATTGGATTCAATGATTTCTTATGGAGTCTTGAGATTCAATGTTCAAATTCACAATGTGACAACTGACGTATAATAGCTATTCAAGAATGAAGGAAAAACGCATACAAGCTCTGGTCTAGCTCTTTTTGTCCTCTTAATTATTCAAGCTATCATGGGCGTCATTCATCACCTCGCTTACCGAAAACAACACGTTAAAGGATTTCTGGGATATATACATATTTGGTATGGCCGCTCTTTACTCATTTTGGGAATCATCTGTGGTGGCTTGGGATTGCAATTGGCAAGAAACACGAAAGGTGGTGAGATTGTTTATGGACTTTTGGCGGGGCTGGTTGCCATGTCTTATTTTACGATATTGGCGTTGAAGACTATGGGAAAGTTTGTGGACAATAAAGCGATAAAGAGTGGAAGTGGAGAGGAAGGAAGAAACACTGAAGAAAGAATCCCTATGAAGGGTAGGATACCGGCGACGATCAAGCATAGTAGCGAGCGAGTTCCGGCGACTAGTCGCTTATAAAATTTACTTACGGCAGACATCGGCTTGAAGGAAAAAACACCCCAGGCAGTGCGCAGTGTGTAAGTTTTGAGAAAAGGATATTTCACATATGTAGCAATGAGTAATCTCTAGAATGGTGTCATCGAATATGATGTCGGCAATGCTCGCATGTATATATTTTAGGGCGCACTTGGAATTAAGAGAAATCTTAATATTCAGTAATGAGTCTCCATTTGTTACTTGAGTAGGTTTCGACCCCTCAAGAGATTCCAGTAGTAAGCACGATTTGAGTGTTGCCAGAAGCATACATCAGCAATCTCTGAAGAATGAGATCCTATATATAGTGTCAGGGAGGTCGATCTCATTGTTCAACATGGCTTTCATTTTTGATCAGATCACATAGATTAACCGCAGCTTGGACCTCTAAGATGATGAATGTCTGTTTTGTATCTCTCTCGGTATTCACCGATTTGAGTTTGAAAGTATAATGCCATTATTTCATGATTTCTGGATCTATAATCTACAAAAGAACTACTCTCCAATTAATTATTCATTGCATCACTTCGACATCAAGTGTTGGTCGAAACTTCTTTCCGCTTTGATATGACTTTTCCACCCTCAAAAAGAGTTTACCTCAAGCCCACCTCAACACCCAATCACTGCTCCATGCTCCATCACTGGTGATATTAGATAATCCCTTGATGTCGAGTACTTGGCTAGTAGAATTATACGTCCATCCACTGGTCAGACTAGCACCATTCAATGTAACGGTGTTAATACTTGTCGAAATACCCATGATGGTGATATTTGCAAGTGGATTATTATCAACATAACTACCTCGGCCTGATGCATAAAGTGAATTCTGCGTCATTGAGAAATCGACCCAAAGAGTAGCATTTGGAGCCACAGATTCTCCATCATCTAGGTAAAGTTCACCACTAGCAGTTCCTTCTAAGCTGGATGCAACTAACAAGCCCCATGGATTATCTCTACATTCACGAGTCGTCAATGCAGGCTCTTGAATTGGAAGAATGGCGCCACCCCGAATGTAAACTGGAATATGCCCAAGTGGTGCATCAATTGTGACGTTTTGACCGGGAGATGAAGTGATAGCAGATTGATTATACCAATCATACCAGACCTGCCCTTTTCCAGATCCAGGGAATACACCGTCGACGGTAGTAGCGCCTTGCTCTAACACGGGTGTCACCATGATATTTGGGCCGAGTAAGAATTGTCGATCCGCAGACGCTAGAGTGGGGTCATTAGGAAATTCCCAGGCAAGAGCGCGCATCACGGTTGAGCCAGTGGAATGAGCCAGGTAGAATGAAGTATAGATATATGGCAAGAGAGTATATCTGATTGTAGTGGCTGCCTTCGTTGCATCGATGACGGATGCCCACACATAAGGTTCTTGGGAGGGGGCGGCCAAAGTATTATGATTACGGTAAAAGGGAAAAAAGGCAGAGAGTTGCATCCAGCGATTGCAAAGTTCCTCGTCAGAATTTCCAGAGAAGCCACATGTATCTGCGCCAAACATAGGAATTCCAAATAAAGAGAACGACAGAGCTTGGGGGATTGAGAAGAACATGTAAGCCCACAGGGAGTAATTATCGCCACCCCAATGTCCGGCCCATTTTCCAGATCCTGCAAATGTAGAACGACCAATGATAAATGGTCGTTTGGATGCAAAGACATTGAGGAGAGCATGATAAGTTGCATTCAAAATTTGGTGGCCGAACAAATTATGATAGTCGTATTCTTGAGTCCCACCATGATGTGTTGCGTTTGGTGACACAGCATGAACATCCAATGAACCTAAGAAATTGTTGATGGTGTATGGAGGGTAGATTATATCGCGGACTCCTGGTGTAGGTGTTGTGCGGATGTAACTCGTGGATGAGGACGATGATGAGGCGGTTGATGTAGCGTAAGCGGAGGACTGACTGGCAGAAGCAGAAGATGCAGCTGCCGCTTCAGTTGCATTGGTAAGATTAAACCCTTCTGGGTAGATAAAGTCGACATTCCCTGGTTCACCAGGTAGAAGGAACGGTGGATGGACGGGATTGAGAGTGAGATTATTGCTACCGCATGATCCAACACAAAAAGAAGATACTTCACTCATGTCAATCCAAATGCCATCGAATGAAAAGTTTGAATGCCATGCGGTCAGCTCGTCTGACCACCATTGGTGTGCTCCAGTGCCATTCAACACAGATCCAATCCAATCAGGAAAGACCGTGTACCCAGGCCATACACTTCCTATGTACAAACTGCCATCAGGGTTCAACATGAAACTGTCGGTTTCATTGCCACGGTTGAAAGGAGGGTATGCATCAGTTTCACTCTCCGGATTAGGGATGTAGATTGCAGAGTCAACAATTGGAACAAGATGTTGTCCATTATCATGAAGTTTCGAAAAGAATTCAGCACCTTCAGAATATCCAAATCTGACTTCGTCAACTGCAAAGTCACGGTATTGATTCATGTAATCAATATCCAACCAGATCGTTTCTAATGGGAGGCCAAAATTTGCGAAATTGTCTACTACTTTGCCGAGTTGAGTCCAGTTTGCGTAACCCCATCGACATTGGTGATATCCAAAGGTAAAATATTGTTGCATCGCTGGGAGTCCAATTGCACTCATTTGATATGCTTTGGTAACCTTTTCTTGTGTTGGGCCAGCATAGAAATATAGATCAATACTACCACCGAGAGTTCTCCACGTTATGTTTGATGGTTTCATCAAGACTTCCTGGCCATGGGCATTTCGTTGATAGACACCATGAGTGTAAGAAACATAGTCTGCGGTGACATTCGTTGCATTTGTGACGTATGTCAAGTTTCCTGTACTTGCATCAACTTCGTAATATCTTGTGTCAAGATAAATTCCATGGTTGCCATAAATATTTGCGTCGATATTATCACCAACATCAGCAGCCCAGAAAGTACGAGTAAAGTTATTGCCCATACGAAATCCATGGATGGATTCTCCCAAGCCATAAAGATTGTAATTTTCTGGCAGGGAACTAGCAAATTCGATGAATTGGTTTTCGTAAATCAATTTAGTGCCGTTGGTAGAGAAGAGAATATCGCCTGTGGATTGACGAAAGATTGAAAACGAGAAGGATGGATCATTGCTCCATAAAAAGCTAAGGTCACTATCCAGAGTGGTAGAGTTCGCATCGGCATCAATGGAGGGTTTCTCTACAAGAGACTCTGGGAGAATAAACCAAGAGCTGTTCGAAGGTCCAACATAAGTAGGAACAATCTCCACATGAAGACGATCTTTCGATTGGTATTCTACTGTCAGATTGAGGAAATCTATATCTGTTCCATAAACATTGCAGGAATCACCAGCTAATGATAAAAACGCCGTCAATCCGTGATTAGTTCGCTTGATATTTGATGCCGTATAGCCCGGACAAACATCTTGCGGATTGACCGCTTGCGGATCTTGGATATTTGGGATAACAGGTGCGCTCACGTCAACCGAAGCGGGAAGTGTATAGACGGAACGATAACTTGTGGTAGTATTTGGGTGTGAAGATGTTGGACTTTGTGCAAGTGTTGTTTGGAGAATTGCTGTGGCAAAGGCAGTAATTATGATACCAAGCCTACCCCCCATTGTTCCTCGGACGGGTTTAAGGTAGTGATAAACAAAGTCAACAATAAGAATCAGGAACAAAATAGTCCATAGGCCAAAGTATGTTGGAGAAGTTGATGGCTGAGACAGAAAAGAGGTGATGATAGCATCCAGAGAGCAATTGAGTGAGTTTATATAATATAACCATCCCTCCTCCGCACTCCGCCTTTCGCCAACCCCGCTCAAGAAAAGATTCCGTATTAAATAGATCCACGTCATGAAAGCAAAATAAGACTTACGAGATTAAAGGATGTGATGTTGCGAGTCCTTGTTAGCTGCGGATAGAAGATTGACACCTTCAAGATAGAGCATGTACAAAAGGGCCGAAATGTATGCAAGAAGTGATGACATATACTTTGGACGGAAACATAGTGATGAATGTAGAAATTATCAGCAGGCCAATGTTTTTAGGAGAAGCATGTGATGTTGAAGTATACTGTAATTGTAAAAGTGCAGTGAAGTACCTGGTATCATGTAGTAGGTAGGAGGTGGAAGGTGGAAGGTAGTATGTGGTTCGAGTGTGGTAATGGAAATGAACGTGGGAGTGCGGGAATGTGGAAATGTGGAAATGTGGGGTTGGAAAAGGCCGGGGAACGAGGGGAATTATTAGTGCAAAGCGGCAGAATTAAGGCGGCCTAGCATGTGCCCAGGTAGTATTGCGCTGGTAGTCGTATGGAGTAAAAGTATATCCGACCGAACCTTATCGTGAGAGAATGTAAGGAAGCGGGTTCCAAAAAAGGAACAAGGAGAATTCCTGCGAAAAATACAGCGAAGAATGTAGCGAAGTGGAAAATTTCTGCCAACATCGAGTGTTGTGACAGGATTATTTTCAATCTTCTTTATTCTCACCATAAGGCCCGTACGTACCATGGCCCTGAGACGCGCGAGGTAATATCATGCCGTATTGACCAAGAAAGCTATCAGTACTGTCCGCCAAGTCATTCAAAAAGAATCCTTCATTGAAAACCAAAAACCAAAAGCCAAAAATACTTACCTATGTATATACCGGTATTGAGCATACTTCCAAACTCCATAAATTCAAAAGCAAGGTACCAGATACCTAGGTATATCAACTACTGGTTGTTCAATAGTGGCAATACTACCTGGTAACTACCTAGGTAAGCTTACCAAATCATTCTAATCTGCCTACCTAGTACCTAAGGAAAGAACGATAATCATACAGTAAAATGAATTTCCACCCTCTTCGATACTTCTCGTGTCAATGATGCGCAATTCATTCAACACCGATATTGTCAACTTGACATAAACTAACAGATAACGTATCGAACTATTGAACTATCGATAATCATATCCTTGATATGGGAGTTAGACTGGCACACCATTGGCAACAGTTTCACACTCTTTGGTAAATTGT